ATGAACCTCTCTCTTTCACTTTCTCTCTCTCTCCCTCCCTCCCTTCTTTCCTGTTTCCCCTCAACACACACACACAACTGAGGTCACTCCTATTCAGGGCCTTTAGGCCCGCGGAGTCCCATTGTGCTTTGCACCTTACAACTTAAGTAGAAAAATGCTTAAAATAGATGCTGAGACACAGGCCTAGCTGGTCCTGGCAGACATATGCAGTCCCTTTCCAGCACCATTTAGAGACGGCTGTTGATTCCCAGTGTGCTGTCTATTCACTTCTTTGCTGGAAACTCATATGATTATCCAGAAAGAGAGTGTGCAAGCCAAGAATATAATCCCAAAGATTCCAAAGCTCACAGCTTTTTTAGGGTCAATATTATATAACTGAGAAAATTCACATTTGACTTCATTTAAAAGGCCACAATTAAAATGAATTAAAAACATCACATAGACCTGGGCAGTTGTGGCACGCACCTTTAATCCCAGCACTCAGAAGGCAGAGGCAGGATGATCTCTCAGTTTGAGGCCAGCCTGGTCTACAAAGAGAGTTCCAGGATAGCCAAAGCTGTTACACAGAGAAACTCTGTCTCAAAATACAAAACAAAACAAAGCAACAACAACAAAATCACATCACATACAATGACTGTCCAGTCATCTGCATAAAACAAAGATGAAACATCAAGTTTGTGCTCACAACTGGATGTAGTGGGGCACACCTTCAATCTCAGCATGTGGGAGGCAGAAGCAGGAGGATCTCAAATAGTTCAAAGGCAGCCTGATCTACAGAGAGTTCTAGGAATGTCGGGAGTACATAGAGAGACCTTGTCTAAAAACAAGAACAAAAAACCCAAAACCAAAATAAAAAGATTAGTGCTCAGAGTTGGGTCTCATTTCCAGAATATCTCATTATGTATATGTAAATATCCAAAATCAAAAATAAAAAAATCTGAAACATTCTGGTTCTAGGCATTTCTGATAAGCAACAGCCAACCCACACATGGATTTATGCATGGTGGAATGGAGCCAGCATATTTTAGTAAGAGTATATATTTGGTAAGATATTCTTCCATATAACAGAATACTATGCAGCAGATAAGAAGCAGACAATGATATAAGGATATAGAAAAGACAGTGAAGATTTGTGATAAGGTGAAAAATGTTTTGTAGAATAATTTTAGAATGACATGTAAGACTGTTTCTGAGGGGTGCATGTAGAGATAGGCAGAATGGAGAGTGGTACAGAGGGCATAAGGATGCTTATCTGGAGTCAGAGGAATGGCTAGGACGCCCTTTGGTGTCTCAGACACTCCGAGGCTCTCTATCATTGACTGCATGCTGCTCCAGGGATGGCAGGAAGGTACAGCTATCCTTTGCTTTGTTTCAGAACTTCTTTGGATACTACAATTCACAGATGCTGAAGTCTCCGCCATAGAAAGCTGTAGTGTTTGCATAGTACCTTGAGCAACCTCCCAGGTGTCTTCCAGAGAGATAAAATAGTCCTTGTGCTGCATGACTTAGGGATAGTGACAGGAAAGAAGGCCTGTGTTTAGTACGGATGCTGTTAAAAACAAACATCCAGTTCACAGTGCCCTGGATTCATCTGCAGGGACTCACAGCACAGACGGCAAGTCCAAATGGGTGTGAGTGGACAGGACAGGCCCTTACCCTCTGCCAGCCATTCTGAAGCTCCAGTAAGCCACAGAGGGGTGACTTGCCCCTGCTAGAATACTGGGTGGTTTCCTCTGTGGTTTGACAGAGACAGAAATGCCTTCAAATTCTTGCTTGCTAGCAGGCAGTGGTGGCACACGCCTTTAATCCCAGCACTTGGGAGGCAGAGGCAGGCGGATCTTTGTGAGTTTGAGGTCAGCCTGGTCTACAGAGCGAGTTCCTAGACTGATTCCATACCTACTGAGAAATCCTGTCTCAAAAAACGAAAACAACAACAACAAAAATCTTGCCTGCCTTTCTTTAACTCTGTGCTCCCTGGTCCTTGAGGCCTTGTAGGTCAATGTGACTAAATGTCACGGTGACAGAAAGAGAATCAGGAAGCAAAGCGGCTACTGTGAGAGCTAGGCAGCCTTCTCCTGGGTACGGGGAATCCAAGGAGACTCTAAAGGTGTAGAGTGATCACAGATGAGCTAGTGGAAGTGGTCAGCAGTGTGCTGGTGACCGCACAGGTTCCCAGTCACTGCTCAGAGATCAACGAGGAACCAAAGGGAAATTATAGGTGAGTTTCTGCTGTCAGGGCAGACCACACTTAGGACTTTCTGGTTTATTGATACCAGCTGTGTCACACAGAACACACGCCTAAATAGCTCCAGTCATATTGTTATAAATGACCATCTGCTTAAATTTGCAAGAGTCAGCCTTGAGTTAAATGCTTCAAATGAGGCATCTATCAATGCTCCCTTAGGGTCTGGAGTCACAAGAATCTTGGTATGTAGGCTCCCATCTTTTATAGATAAAGCAAGGTTTTCAAAGCCCACATTTATAAAACGAAATGAAGACTAATAGTATTTGTTCCAACGGACTACTGTGAAGACTCAAAGTTTGTTTTTTTCTTTCTCTTTTGTTGCAACCCTGGAGACTGAACCCAGGTCCTTGCGTATGCTAGCAAAGTGATCTTCTACTTCTGTGAGGACCAGGCAAGTGCTGCAAAGGGTTAACATACTGTAGCACACTCTGGCTGTTCTCACCAGTCCCACTCTGCAGATGGGAAAACAATCAGGAAGACGACTAGCAACAAAAATTTTTTAGATAAGATCTCCAGGTAGCCCAGGCTGGCTTTGAGCCCGCCGTGCAGGAGAGGATGACCTTGAACTTCTGATCCTCCTGACTTACCTCCCAGATGCTGGGATCACAATTTAGGCTGGATCTTATTCTTTTCTCCTTTTTCTGAGACAGTGTTTCCCAGTGTAGTCCAGGATGGCCTGAACTTCCTACGTAGCCCAGGCTAGCCTCAAACTCTCCTTAATTCTCTTGCCTCAGCCTCCCAAGTGCTAGTATTAGAGACATGAACCACCATACCGAACACAATAATGTGCTCGGTACCTTCTGACTTTGATTATTTGACATGGGACATAGTTTTCTAAAAGTATAATCTATATCTTGTTTCAAAATTACTTTGTGATTCATTAATTTTCTGCTTAGATGCATGGAAGAAAGGAGATAATTTCTACCAGAAAATTAAACTTCCACATAAGAAGGGATAGAGTAAAAAACCCTCAGTGCCTTCCAAGTGTCCCTCATTCCCTGCAGGGGAAAGGCAGAGAAGTCCCTAGAGCCCAAGTTAGCCAGGCTGCAAGGCAAGGCTGAGCACCGGCCAGGGGGGCTGGCGATGGCCTCATGGAAAACACTACCATACATGGGCATGTCTGCCTCCAGCCCAGCCTCCACAGAAAAGCAATGATAAATCCATAGTGACTACCTTGTACGGAAGAGCGGCTCTATTTCAGATATGATAATAAAATCCATGATGTTTATGAAGCAAACCCACAGGTTTCTCCAGGGTGGCTCAGCACAGGCGTACGTTCTGGTATCTTGGAATGGAAGCACCCCCAGCCTTAGGGACTCCCACCACAACCTTATCCCACTCGGGAGCAGTCTTTAAATTTGTAAAAGGTCATTTTAAGCCTTCTTCAAAGAGTGCTAAGTGTTTCTTTTGCTTAAAGTAATGGATCCACCAGAAACATGAAATCAACAAATTTTGGTTTCAGTAAAGAGAAAAGATGCCAGGGTCACGGTATGAACTTGGCATCAGACAAACTGGGAAATGGGCTCACAAGTGCTGATTGGTTGTGTGACCCTGAGGAAATTATTTAACTTCACTGAGTTTCAGCTGTGTTATATAAAGGCTCACAGTGTCTTTGTGATGAGGTGCATGCAATGATTAAAAGAACTCAATTCCATTTAAATGCTGTTAAAAGTACCTGACTTGTAAGTGTGCCATCAGCAATAGCATAGAACAGAAAGTGTTCCCTGCCACCTGCACGGACTTTCAGACCTGCATGGTCAAGCTCTTTTTCTTTAAGCCAAGTCGAAAATAGCATCTTGAAGTAAACAAGAGAAGAACCTTCACCAAAGGAAACAGAGCTCGGCAGAGCCAGAGCGGCCGTTCGCTAAACACAGCCCAACTTCCCTCCTTTCCCAACAAGCACAGCGGCAACTCTCAGTTCTTAGTGGCAGAACCAAAGCACCCTAGCTGGCTTTCTACACCTTCTCTTGTTATCTGACAGGCGTAGCTTTGAAGGGTGCTTTCCGCACATGGCAAGATCCTCCAATTCTGAACCTGAACAGCTGAAATTTCTCCTGCTCGTTCCTCCACCTTCCCATTGAGAAGCCCCAAACCCCAACGCCTGCTCACTTGGTGCACCTGTGGGTGGCGGCTGTGAATGGAGCCTCAGCTTGCACCTGGGCATCTGGGGCCCTAACATCAACGTGGAAGAGCTCCTTTATTAATTCTCAGGGTCTGGGTTCTGGAAGGGATCAGAGCTGAAAGAAATTAACCTTAACTTACAACAAGCTGCCTTGTCTAGCCACGGACTGCCATCAGCCACCCACCTAAGTGGATGGAAAACACTTTGCATACAGCCTGCGTCCAAGGCCGTCAACACTCTCGCCAATATTTCTGGGTTACTTTGTACAATGGTCAGTCAGTTATCCATCTCATGACCTTCTAGTCAGAATAACCTGGGGGGTCTGCTCCCTGCCCCCAATACGGGGTTTGAACCCAGGAACCACAGAGCTATATCACCACTGGTGCTAAAGTAGGCTATTTTTTAGACTCTAGCATAGCTGGAATTAGGCCTAGCCACCAGACCTTTAATTGGTACCCCCACTTGCCCATCAGCAGCCTTGGGGATGCTGGTTTCCGAGAGAAATCATGGAAGGTCTAGGATGACCCGGCGCCTTGTTTCTTCCCACTTCCCATTCCCACTCCCAGGAGGATGTTCTAGAAGCCACTCAAGACCACCACCCAGACTTGCCCCCATGGGACCAGCCCTACTTACAGATCTGTCACTGGGGGCTACCGGTAGGACAGGATGGAGAGCTCGGATCTGGCGCTGGTCCCAGGCTGGGGCGGTCCAAATCTCCCTGTGTGCCTCTGACGCCTGGCTTTATAGAGCCGGCTCTCCCCGAGGGTGAAAAGGGGAGGCGGCCGCCGGGAGGGGTGGGAGAGTCCTCTGCCCTTCGCGGCGCCCCCTGCAGGTGAGGAACAGAGCCGCCGGGAACCACCTGGCAGGGGTGTAGCGGCGCTGCCAGCGCACTGGCCGGCAGCCTCAACCCTCGCTCCCTGCAGTCACCCAGATCCTGGGTCCCCAGAGAAAAGGGATCGGGTACGCAGAGTCTGTAGGGAAATTTGAGAATTTCTCTACTAGGTCCATTCCAGCTGTACTTTAACCTTTTCCTGATCATACTGGGAACCCGACACTTCCCTCTCTCCCTCATCCCCACTTCTTTCGCCCGCCACTGGGCCAGCAGGGAAAGGGGACTTTTTGAACTCCTCGAAGTGCAAGGCACACCCTCTTGTGACTGCTAGGAATGTGTGGGAAGGGGAAACTTTTGCTTTTCATAACTTATTCTCTGCAGCTCCATTCACCAGAATTAAATATAACCCCGGGGTACTTGGAACCGACAACGTCCTTGTGTCCACAGCCGAAAAGTGGGGAGCTGCTGGGGAAGGGTGAATAATGGCATTTGGAAGAGTTGTGTTACGATCCTAAGAGAATGTGGGGGACTTTCTGGATCCTGAAAGTTCCCAGCTGTCCCCCCTTCACCAAGGGGTCTTTGTCCACTTAGAGGTCACAATTTTTCTCCCTTGGTCCTGTGTGGATCTAGGCCCCTGTCTCTTTTGTCTGACCAGGCACTCTCTTCTTTCCAATCTCTCTAGCTTTGACGAGTTTTTCTTCTGTCTCTTGTATGTTCCTAAACTCTCTCTCTCTCTCTCTCTCTCTCTCTCTCTCTCTCTCTCTCTCTCTCTCTCCTCTCTCTCTCTCTCCTGCCACATGCACACACACTCAGGCCTTAAAAGGAAGTCGAGGCAGGACTGGCCCCACTCCAAACTGCGGACGCCTAGCTCCCTGCGTGCGGACCCTCTAGGTCCCAGGCCAGTCCTCCCTCCGGGGCCGGGCTGGGCGGACAACCCAAAAAGGGAAGGCGCGATTCTCGCGGAGGAATTCCCAGCGCGGCATACCAGCGGGGCTCTGGCTCCCCCTGACTAAATATGGTCCAGTGAAGATGCCTGCTGAGCCCGCGGGGCGCTGGGGAACCCCACTTCTCAGACAATGAGCTTCAGGCCCGCGTGCAGTCGGTGCTTCGAACTGGAGGATGACCCTTGCCAAACCTACCCCAGTCCCGCGGTGCTCAGTGGCCCCATTTTGCAGGCCAGAAGACTGAGTCCCCTGAGGGTCCACAGCACGCTCAGGACCTTTTAATATCAATGTCCACTCTGGGGAACAATCAGGAAACTGGCCACAAGGCCAAGAGAGGCCTCTGGGCAGCGTTGTTTTCATGGACGTCTGCTGAGCCTCTTAATAGCAGCAGGACCAAGGGCAAGTAACTGAACCTTTTCTGCCTCAGTGTCCTTGTCTGTAAAAAAGGGAGAATGCCAGTTCCTTCCCATTTTTCATAAGCAATCCTTGAAACAGTGTGAAAATAGCACATTGCAACTTTGTGGGCTTAGGAAGCCCAGCAAAATAGCAGTGAGCTGGCTGTGGGATACAGAAGGCCAGGCAGCCTCCCATTGGCTTTGCACAGTGATCTGTGTCTCAGTCCCTCTAGACCCCTTCTGCATACCTTCAACACTAGTTGAATATCTGGATCCTGGTCTTCCCCATCCCCACCGCTATCCCCCTGCCCCGTAGGGCGACATAGGACAGCTGCTTGGCTGGCTCTCTGTGGAGGTGGGGGAGGAGCCCTCGGGATGATGGAAGAGACTGCTTCCCCAAAGCCTCTTTACAGCTGCTGTAAAAGGAATGGAAACCGTCCCTGCGCTGAGCTCAGGAGGAATGGAAGGGAAAGCCCAGGGCCCACCTGCACCTACCCACTCTGGAACCAGTCCAGAGCTGGCTGTTCTGCCACAGGCCCCAACAGTAACTTCCAAGGGGCACAGCTGATTTTTAAAGGACTGTGCCAATTTTGGAATGAAAATGATTTCATTATTAAGGAGAGACTGGGCCAATAAAATGGCTGTGTGGGTAAAGTATTTGCTGCCTAAGCCTGACCACTTGAGTTCCACCCTTAGGACCTACATGGTGGGAGGAGAGAACCAACTGACTGGGACACAATATTCTGCCTTTCATGTGCAGCAGTGGCACAACTCCACCCCTGATAAGTTAGTACATGTAATAAAAGGGGTTTTAAAACTGCAGGCTGTGTTGTGTATGTGGTATGTGTGCACAACTCAATCACAGATATCAGTTCTCAGGAGCCATCCACCACAGGGTCTATGTAGATCTGGTTGATCTGGCAGCAAACTCACAGAAATCAGCCTGCCTTCCAAGTGCTGGGATTCAGCGTGTGCACCGCCACCTCTGACATTGCTTTTGCTGTTGTCTTCACAGGCTTGGCTGCTCAGCTGCAGCTTGCTGTGACAGGCACTCAGGGCACCCTTGTCTCTTTCCATCAGTGCTAGAGATGGAATTCAGGCACTCATTTTTGTCTCACCACCTCTGCCAAAGGAGGTGGAAATTTCACTGTCATCTTCACACCTAGTGACCAGAATAATGGCATGAAGTAGGCTCCCCAGGATATAGGTTTGAGAAAGGCAAGTCATCTGGCCAATGTAGCAAGGTTAATGGAAGAGCTGGGATTCCCGTCTGGGCTGGCTGAGTCCATTCATAGCAAGAAGTGGTGGCGGCGGTGCCTGTCTGTGTAAACACATGTTCTTGTGTGTGGAGGCTGACAGTGTGGTGGCGGCGGTGCCTGTCTGTGTAAACACATGTTCTTGTGTGTGGAGGCTGACAGTCAACACTGGGTGTTCTCACGAGTCACATCTTCATTTTAGTTTCTGAGCCACCATCCCTCATTGAGCCTGGAGTGTGTTGATTCTGCTACACTTCTAGGCCAGAGAGCCAGCCCACGGATTCCCCTTTCTCTGCCTCCCAAGTGCTGGGATTAAGGGTGTGCACTGCCATATTCAGCTTTTTATATGGGTGCTGGAGATCAGGTCCTCATGCTTGAGTGGCAAGTACTTTATTGACTGAGCCATTTCCCCAGCTCCATTTATGTCTTTCCCGCAGGGGTGGAGTTTAAATCCCAAGTCTTGCCCACACTAGGCAAGTACTCTGCCACTGAGGCCCAGAAGCCTGATCTCAGCTCTGCTAAGTGCTAACCAAGAGCCTCTGGGGTGACCCACGTCCTTACATTCCATTGTCTCAGGAAAGGCAAACACCAGGCTCTCTTCTTCTCTATCCTGCTGGGTTGTTAACGACAGTGCTGGCCTTGTATAAACCATCCATGCCCTCCTGCCAGGCTTGAGCAGTACCCAAGGACAGTATGTTCATTTAACAGTCACTCAATAAATATCTGTCCACTGTGAGAAGTTCAGATATCTGAAGTTTTTGGAAGGACCCTGTTCTAGGAGTAACTGTAGAGGCTTATGTTTTGTTTCTTGTGGTTGAAAAGGTCACTTATTTTAAGAAGAGGAGAAAAGTCACTTTACAAAATGCTCCTTTGACTGGGTGATATCAAATAAATTGTAAGTTTCTCTGTGAAGGGCAGTTTAATGGGAGTTTCCATAAACTCACAAGACAAGATGACAGAGGGGAAGTTTCTCTTTGGAGTCGTTTTTTATAGACAGGGTCTCACTGTGTAGCAGCCCTGGCTGGTCTGGAACTCACTATGTAGGCCATGCTGGCCTCAAACTCATCAGACCCACCTGCCTCTGCCTCACGAGTGTTGGGATTAGTTTTAAATGGCTACTGGCTTCTAAAAGCCTCTGGCTTTAGGAGCTATATGCAAGCATGGCGGACTCCTGCATGTGCTTCAAGACTTAACTATTGAGAAGTACAGCAGCAGGGCTGAGGAGATGAATGCTCACTGCACAAGTATGAGGACCAAAGTCTGAGTCCTCAGCATTCGCGTAAAAAGGCTGGGCACAGCCACACACACCCATAACATCTGTGCTGTAGGAGATGGAGACAGGAGACTCACTGGGGCTTGCTGGCTACCAGCTGAGCTCCAGCAAGTTCACTGCGAGCCTATCTCAAGGGAATAGAGCAGTGACAGGACACCTGATATCTCCTCTGGCCTCAAATGCACAAGTGAACAGGCATGCGTGCACACATGTGCACACAGACACGTACACAGAAACAGATCAATGTGACATAAGACGTGCCTCCTCATGAAGAACCATCTTTACTCACAAGCACAGAACAGTGGGAACCGTCACACGCACAAGTCCTGGTCCTCCTCTTGTCTCCAGATAGAAGACTGCACCTACTGTGCTGCTCCCTCTTACTCATGTCCAGTTCTGATTTGTGAGTTTGCTGCCAAGATCATTCCTGTAACTATAGATGTCACTATTGGGAAGAGTTCATAATTCTCAGTAGTTTTAGTATTTTTATAAAACTAATCTGTATGGTGATTTGAATAAGAATGCCCCCATAGGCTTGGTTCTCAGATGGTAGAACTAGGAAGCTTTAGGAGCGGTGGCCTTGTTGAAGGACGTGTGTCACTGGGGTAGGCTTTGAGGTTTCTGCAGCTCAGGCCATTTCCAATTAGTACTCTTTGCCTCATGCTTGTGATTTCAGTTACTGCTCCAGCACCACGCCTGCCTGCATGTTACCATGCTCCCCAACATTACAGTTATGGATTCTAGCTAGCCCTGTACAACTGTAAGGCCCCGATAAGTTCTTTATTATGTTATGTTAGTAATGTCTTAGTAATGATACTTTGTCACAGCAATAAAAAAGTAACTAAGACACTCATCAGCAAATTCTTCTTGGGAATTTACCCAGAGGAGACGAACTTACCTCCACACAGTCCTTCCTATACATGGCATTTCCAGCGCACTTTGTTATTGTGCTTTTGAGACAGGGTCTCACCAAGTAGCCCACACCTTTAAAACTGATCACGTCAGGTTCAGGAGCTTTATTAACTGCGACTACCAGGAAGCAGAGGCCACTTTCTAATAGCTAGACAAGTAACTAAGAGGCAGGATTCTGCATTATAAAGAGCCAACAAGACAGAAAGATGTAGGAGAAACTTCACGGAGCACTGCCAATCCTACAAGGTGAAAATGAGTCGAGCCATGTGGTGCCCAGGGAGAGGATGGGGCAGGTGTCAGGGCACAGCAGCTGCTCTCCTGTACTGCTACAGCAAACTCACATCACCATGCTTTGTTGGGTGCCAGAGCAGGCTCTTCCTCTCTAACAATTGCAGCTCCAATGCAGACTCAGACAGTGGGGGTTTCATTTCATTTAGCCAGGCACTTAAAAGTTGTACATAACTTTTTTTTTTTTTTTTTTTTTTTTTTTTGAGACAAGGTTTCACTACTAGCCCTGACTGGCCTAGAAGTTGCTATGCAGAGCAGGTTTGGCTCAAACTCAGGTATCTGCCTGTCTCTAACCTCCAGAGTGCTAGGACAAAGGTATATGCCACCACACCCAGAATTTCACTTTTTGAGACAGGGTCCCTCATTGAACCCAGAACTCACCTAATTGGCCAATGAGACTCATGTTTGTCTCCACCTCTACATCTTTGTGATACCAGGAACCTGCAGCTGTGTCCAGTTCTTTATGTAGATGCTGGGTATCTGGAAACTGAACTCCGGGTCTTCATGCTTGCATAGGAAGCAATTTCCCTGACTGAGCCATCTCCAGGAAGTTTGGTCTCACTTTATTCGAAGCATTTCATGCACAGGATGGTTGCTACAAACATCAAAGGACAAGTGTCTGGGAAGTAGTCTTCCCTTGGAAGGCACATTCTCGACTGTCACAACTCCAGACACTTGGCTTTTTCCTAAAGGAACTATCGAGTTTACATAATCAGCCAGACATGCAAGTCATATACAAACGTGTTCTTGCACATAATTATAAAGCTATCTGTTTACTCTACACAAACATACATGCTAGGCTTAAATTTACAATCTTCAGAAGCCAGCCCCGGACTTGATAGGTACTTTTTTCGCCCAAATTTTTGGATAACCAAGTCTCCTATAGCCATCTGGTTCTGTTACCATCCAATTTTTGTGTGAATTCAAATTTTCCCATAAACCCCTCTTGTATTTCTAGAAGGTAACTTCTCCCAACCCCAAGTGAGGTGTCACTACTGTTTCTAAGGGCAGCCTGACGGGTCTTCTGGGCTTGTGATTTATTCTTTAACACACCTGCTTTTCCTTTCTTGGGAGTTTTAAATGTCCCAGCTTAGTCAGGCACTCTGGAAGGCAGAGGCACATCCAAAAGTTCTAGGCAAGCCTGGTCTACATGGTGACACCTTGTCTTGAAATGTTCCAGCCTACAAAATATATTAAAAAGCCACAGAAGAGCCGGGCGGTGGTGGCGCACGCCTTTAATCCCAGCACTCGGGAGGCAGAGGCAGGTGGATCTCTATGAGTTCGAGGCCAGCCTGGTCTACAAGAGCTAGTTCCAGGACAGGAACCAAAAGCTACGGAGAAACCCTGTCTCGAAAATCAGAAAAAAAAAAAAAAAAAAGCCACAGAAGTAATCAGCTGATAGTGTTCATAAATACCCTGTGAAGAGACGGCAACAGTAGATTGTCTTCAATTCGTTGTTTTGTTGCTTGTTGCTGTTTGTTTGCTTTAGAGATCCTTAATTTCTTTTATTTTCAATTATATGCATGTATGGGTATGAGTCTGTGAGTGCAGGTGCTCAGAGAGGTCAGAGGAGGGCATCAGATCCTCTAAAGGATCAATAAGTGTTAAGCACTTAGCCATCTCTCTAGCCCCTTGATTCTTTTTTGGACACAGGGTCTGGCTACACAGCCAGGGCTGGCCTAGAATTACCAATCTTCCTACGTGGGCCACCAAGTACTTGGCTGGGTTACAGGTGTTGAGCAGAGGCTGCTTGTTTGTTCCCAGCTGCCCATACCACAAAATAATCACTCAGAAACTATATTACTTAAACCACTGCTTGGCCAATCACTTAAGCATATTGGCTAGCTAGCTCTTATAGCTTTAGTTAACCCACTTCTATCATATTTTACCATGAGGCTCATGACCTACCGGCAAGGTTCCATCTGTCAATTCATGTCTTTTCCCTTCTGGTGGCTCCATGGCGTCTCTCTGACTCTGCCTTCTTTCTCCCAGCATTCAGTTTAGCTTTCCCCGCCTACCTCTATTTTGCCCCACCAGGCCCAAGACAGATTCTTTATTAACCAATGGTAGTCACAGCATACAGAGGGGAATCCCACATCATACAGGTATACCCCACCATGACCTGGCTCTTCCTTAGCTTTTAAGAACCTGATCAGGTGGTGATGGCGCACGCCTTTACTCCCAGCACTTGGGAGGCAGAGGCAAGCGGATGTCTGTGAGTTCAAGGCCAGCCTGACAGGTTCCAAAGCTACAGAGAAACCCTGACTTGGGGGGGAAATATATATATATATATATATATTGGGGTTTAGTGGTTAAGAGCACTGGCTACTCTTCCAGAGGTCCTGAGTTCAATTCCCAGCAACCAGATGGTGGTTCACAACCATCTATAGTGAAATCTGATGCCCTCTTCTGGCATAAAGTCGATAGAGCACTCATATACATAAAAAGGGAATACAAAATCTTTATTTGGATAATTAAAAAACAAAAATGGTAATACATTTTAAATATAGATGGAAACAAAAATATTAAAAATCGACAGTTTTCCTTTTTTTCAAACATATCAGGTCCTCCAGGCTGTGACACTGACCCCTAGAGTGGTATACCAAGTGCACACATGTGCCAGCCCTGCCTTTAGTCCCCAGCTGCCCAGTGAGCCAGCTCCAGTCACCTTCGTTTCAGGGTCCCTCTGGATGACAAGATGGTGACATGAAGCCTCTACAGAGCTAAGCTGATTCTCATCAAGCAGTCACTGAGATTAAAACATTGCCTTGGCATAGACAGGTTAGAATAAAACGTAGGAATGCATGCGGCAATTCTGTTTATCTTCCATTTTGATAATTTTACATCAATATCCAAAATTATAAACACCAAAATTTTCCCTTAGTCTGGCCCTACATAACTGCAATTCCTGAGGCAGTACAGCATCCATAGCTGACACCTCTGAATATTAACCAAGTCCTCTGGGACCATCTGGTATTTACATTCACACACAGAACATAATGAAATTCATAACTATAGTCAGTGCAGATTTAGAAGCGGAAATGAGGGTGTGTACAGCTTCAGGCATTGGTGGCCTAAGTGAGTTTGCAGTGCTTCTAGCTAAGAAAGATGCCCTCTGAACATAGGTTGTGATGAACACCCGGAGACCTGCACCTGCTCCCATGTGGAAAGTACAGCCCACACTTTCTGAGAGCAAAGATAACAAAGACTGCTAAGAGAAGAAACAGTGTGCATACAAACAGGATAAACAGCTATCCAGAGGTCAGAGTGATGACACTTCAAGACCAGATCCAAAGAGGGAAAATAGTTCTAATACACAAAACAAAAACTGCCGATAAAGAAAATGCAGAGGAGCCTGGTGTTCTGACACAGGGTTTACTCCTAGCACATGGGAGGCAGGAGCAGGAGGATCTCTGTGAGTCTGAGGCCAGTCTGATCTATAATGTGGGTTCCAGGACAACCAGAGCCAACAGAGACATCCTATCCAGAGAAAGAGAGAGACAGAGATAGCCAAAGACAGAGAGAGAAGAAAATACTGAGGGATTGGAAAGAAAGCTCAGGACTGGTTGTTGCTCACAACTACCTGTGCCTCAAGCTCCAGGGGGACCCAGCACCTCTACACACATGCATATACATGCCTACCTACATACATGAACACCTATACACACATGTACACACATGCACACCTAAAAAAAAGTATTTTTAAAAGAAATATCAAAAATCCTTGTCAGATGATGGTGGTGCATGCCTTTAGTCCCCCACTCGGAAGGCAGAGGCAGGCAGGCGGATCTCTGTGAGTTGAAGGTCATCCTGGTCTACAAGAGCTCCAAAGGACAGGCACCAAAGCTACAGAGAAACCCTGCCTCAAAAAACCTAAAAAAAAAAAAAAAAAAAAAAAAAATTCTATAAAGAGCAAAATTAACACAACCCGTATTTCTATAAAATCTTCTAATAAATTAACCAATTTAGAAATAACTTTGAGGATGACATATTGCACTCCCTACCAATTAAATATGATTTCCAAAGTCAGATACAATGTTTAACCTCTCCCTGAGAGTAACAGAGACAAGTGACTGCAGGAAGACCAAGAAGCCCATGCAGCTTTGGTCACGGCTACATTGTTGGGTCTAAGATTAATTCATTCAGAAAGTCTCTGTAAGACAGAGTCAGAACTCTACAATAAATAAAATTCTTCTACTATCTCCAAAGCTGCAAAGCCTTGGTCTGTATAAACAGCAGAAGGGTTACAGACACAGCTATGACCTTGACTACCACAACAATCTCCATAGTAACATGCACACGCTCAGAAATAAGGCTTCCACAGAACCCCTGGCAGTTCTACCACTGGAAATACTCAGCCTGATTAGTAAGGGCTGCCCCAAGAACTATAAGAACCCGGTCTGACCTGCTAACAAAAGCTACAGTAGCCAAAACACTTGTTAAATATTCTGTCTTGCCCATACTGAATTGACCACAAGTCCTATTGAAAACATTCTCTAAATCTCTAAGAAGGCTGTGCTTGCAAGATTCAGTCTATGGAAGAAATGGTACACACAAGCACATATTCTAACAGTGAAGTGTTAAGGAAGAGTTAATTTGGGGGCTGGAGAGGTGGCTCAGAGGTTAAAAAAACTGGATGCTCTTGCAGAGGACTTGGGTTCAGTTCCCAGTACCCACATGTTGGCTCACAACTTCCTGTTATTTCAGTTCCAGGGGATATGACATCCTTTTCTGGCCTCTGAGGGCACTGTATGCACACGGTACACAGATATACAAGTAGGAAAAACCCATTTACATGAAAATAAAATCTTAAAAAGAGAAAAACAGTGAATGTGAGAAATACTGGAGGTGATTCATGCAACCAAGGAAAATCTGCAAGTTAACACTGAAATAATTATCTTCTGGGAAAACCAAAACTGCAGAACAGGCACCATAGAAATGGCATTTCAAGGCTGTAAAATTGACAAAGACAACAAAACAGAAGATCCAGCCATTATAAGTAAGCCCCGATTCAGCCAATTCAACAGAATATATATTCTATACCATGCTTGCAAAGTATAAAAAAGAATATGGACATAACACACTCAATTTAAAGGGCTCTAATTTTTAACACCAGACATTTCATGCATTTTAGATTTCAACTGTCAGTATATTAAATGATCCCTGGAAGCCATCAGTTTTTGGTGACAGTGCCTACTCTGCCACTCTAAAACAGAACTGTGCCCCATGTTCTCTGATAAAACAAGAGAGAAACAAAGCCCTCCTCAGGAATGGGGGTCGGCACTAGTCCTGGGCTGCTGTCTGCATGGCTCTGTACTGCTCTAGATCCCTTTTTGATACACACATTACAGGAGCAGGCACCCTTTATGTGCCAGCAATCTACGCTTAGCTTGTCAATGTTAACAGGCTGTTCTTTTTTTTTTTTTTTTTTACTGTGCTTACGAGTACAATATCAGCTTGTCCTCTCTGCTCAAAGTACAGTAAGAATGATCAACAGGAAATGTATTTTAAATACATTTCTATTTTTACATTGAAAAGAAAAAATGGATATGGGTTCTTGTAAAACTGCATTTATGGATCCCCTTTATCCAACAGGGTTTCTAAGAACTTTAAGAGTGGTGAAGACCATTTAAAGGGGTTTCCTTCATCATGTTCTACATGAACAGGAATGTTATCCATCCGTCTTTGAGCAGTGCGTGACTAGTATCACCACATACAACTCAAACTGGTAACATTCCAAGTCTCCAATGCCTGAAAGTAACCCTCAGCTCTCTTCCTGTGGCACATACTTGGCTATGCATTGTTAAGTTCTGTCCCCCATGCTACTTTATCTGTAATAAAACTGTGCAACTCTTGCGCTGTGTGACTCTTGACAGTAATGAACCATTGATGGAACAGCTGTGTTCCATGAAATAAGGCTGTAGCTACCTACACTAGAAAAATCTCCTTGATAAACGGCAAAGTAGCATTCAGAGGCAGAACAGTAGCAGCTCTTATGATTTTCCTATCCTAAGAATCAAAACTCCTGTTTACTAAGTCTCTCAAGAGTCCATGTAAGCAAAAGATGGCACCTCTATTGTCACTGTGTGCAGGAGGGAGCTGCACAGAGAGCTCTGGTAACAGCTCCATTAAAGTTCCTACATGGCACTTCTCCCAGAGCTTTGTCCTTACATTCTTTATATAATAAAATAAACCCTGTTTCACTAAAACAAAATTAAAAGAATTATTTCCCCTGTTACCTTTTCATTAAATTCCCTAGTAGAAACCACACTATTCTTGGGAAAAGAACACTGTTATTTAGTTTAAAGATCAACATTAGAGTGTCTCAGGGTTTTCATTAATATTGTAAAGACCAGGACCATAAGCAACTTGGGAAGGAGAGGGTTTATTTCAGCATACAGTTCCATATCACAAGCTACCACTGAAGAAGTCAGGGTAGAACACCACAGAGACTTGCTCAACAAGGCCTGCTTGGCCTTTCTTACTGAACCCAGGACCACCCACCCACAATGGGCTGGACCCTCTCACATCAATCATTGATAAAATGCACTACAGGCTTGCCCATAGGCCAATCTGATGAAGGAATATTTCTCAACTGAGAGTTCCTCTTCCCAAATGACTCTAACTTGTGTCAAGCTGAGACAAAACTAGCTGGGGCAGACAGTGATTCAGATATTTCTTAAATATCAAACTTTAAAGGAATAAATTTTGGTTTTATGCCCTTTAAATATTTTTTCAAAAACATGAATGAGTTTTTCCACTGGTCTATATAATTCTAGCTGAAGGAAGTTTAATGAACAGAACATACAGACAGACCTGTACTTGTGTTTTCTTTTTCTCAGTGCGAGGACTGAACTCGGGACCTCACAAATGCGAGGCAAGTGCTTCCCTGGAAGCCCATCCACAGCCCTTGGTGATGGCCTTTAAAAAAGGGAAAAGGGACAAAGAATAAAGGAACTTTAAAAAATATATCCTGGCCTGGCAGTGGTGGCGCACACCTTTAATTCCAGCACTCGGCAGGCAGATCTCTGTGAGTTTGAGGCCAGCCTGGGCTACAGTGTGAGTTCTAGGACAGCCAAGGCTATACCAAAAAAAAAATAAAATAAAATAAAAAAGTAAAACAAAACAAAACAAAACAAAAAACAATCCTGAAAACAAGATGTTTTTCTCCAGTGGCTTTTAGCACGGATTAGCTTTTCACAGATACAGTAAAATTTGAGGCTGAATGTTTGTAGAAGCTCAAACGTTTACAAACAGTGGTGGTCTAATTAATGGTATTGGGAATAATAAGTTAACTTCTCCACATACACAGCTGAGATCAGAGAGTCATCTGCTGACTGCTTGCGCAGCAGCATGCAGCTCTTCAGTCGCGGTGCTCGGGACCGTGTCCTTCCTCAGGTGGTCATCTAGAGAGAATATATAGGTGTTAATACTCCAAAACAGGCAGACAGGCAAACACACCTCTATCTATTTTAGGGCACTATATTAGTATTTTATGAGTTTTTCTTATAACATATATTGACTTGTGGAGGTGAGGATTGGCAGGTATGTATGTGGAGGTCAGAGGAAAACTTGAGGGACGCAGTTCTCTCCTTCCACCATGTGTGTCCCAGCAACTGAACAAAGCTACTATGACTGCCTGCTAGCTAAGCCCTCATGTGGAACACAAAAGGAGTACAGTTTATATCTTTGTATCAACACTGTAACACTATCCAGGGAACTGTGGAAAGTGCTTTTAAAGCCTGCAAGATGGCTCAGTGGGTAAAGAGGCTTGCCACAAAGTGTGATCTCCAACTTTGAGCCCTGAAATTTACAGAACTGACTCCTATCAGTTGCTCTGATTTCCACATATGTACTATAGTCCATGTGTGCACAAACATACATATAAGTGTAATAAATGATAACTAAATAAAATCCAAAGATAAACTAGGTAGAGGGAGACACACCTGTAATCCCAGCATTTGGGAGGCTGGGGTAGAAGGATAAATACAAGTCAGGGCCACTCTGATCAACATGGAGATCTGTCTGTCTCTGCTCCACCAATGCTGGAGCTAGGGGTACACATGCCAAGTTAGAGAGATGGTTCAGTAGTTAATAGCAATTACTGCTCTTGTAGAGGAACCAGATTCAGTTTCTAGCACCCACATGGCAGCACACAATGAACTGGTCTGTAGTCTAATTCAAGGAAATCTGATGTCCTCTTCTGGCCTCCTTGGGTACCAGGCATGTACATGGTACATAGACACACAGCAGGCAAATACCCACACACAAAAAAATCAAATATAAAACTTTATTTAAAAAAAAATGTCTGAGTCATGTGTAGTGGCATATACCTATAATCCCAGCTGAGGCAAGGGGATTGTCACCAGTGTGAGGCCAGACTGGACTACATGGAAAAACACCATCTTTAAAAAAAAAAAAAAAAATTAAATTTAAATTAAAAAATGAAGGGCCTTTTAAAATTAAATTTCTTTCTTTGTGTGCGTGTACATATGCATACATGTGAGTGTGTACACACAGGCCACAGCAGGTATACGTGGAAATCAAAAGACAACTTTTTTTTTTTTATTTTGGCTTTTGGAGACAGGGTTTCTCTGTGTAACAGTCCTGGCTGTCCTGGAACTCACTCTGTAGACCAGGCTGGACTCCAACTCACAGAGAGCTGACTAAAGGCAGGCACCACCAGTGCTGGCTTCAATGGACAACTTTTAGAAGTTGGTTCCTTTTTTCTGTTGTGAGGGCCTGAAGCTGTCAGGTTGTTGGGTTTGACAGCAAATGTCTCCCACCTACTAAGCCACCTCCTTGGTCCAAACTATGTTATTTTTGCACTTTATTTTTTTTTATTTTTTTAATTAATTTATTTATTTATTAAAGATTTCTGTCTCTTCCCCACCGCCGCCTCCCCTTTCCCTCCCCCTTCCCCAATCAAGTCCCCCTCCCTTGTCAGCCCAAAGAGCAATCAGGGTTCCCTGCCCTGTGGGAAGT